ACCCCCTGTCACCCACCCAATCTACACATCCCCAAACACTATGGGCAATTTAGCATGGCCAATTCACTTAACCTGCACATCTTTGGACTGTGGGAGGAAACTGGAGCACCCGGAGCGAACCCCCATGGACACGGGGAGAATGTGCAAACTCCACACAGTCGCCCGAGGGTGGAATTGAACCCAGGTCCCTGGACCTGTGAGGCAGCGGTGCTAACCACTGAGCCACCATGCCACCCCAAAACTGGTGTGAAAGTACCACACATACTTGAAACCTGCTGAATAGAAGAAACATGATCAAGCAGCACCCCAAACAACAAGCTCTGCTTCGATATAAATGAAAAGCTTTTTACTACCCTCAGACACCATGAGCATGATGTGATTTGAACAGGCAGCCTTCTTTTCTGGAGTCAGACACGCTACCGTTGTGCCACAAGCTCACAGTTCTTGAGTGTTGTTGGAGCTGCACCCATCCAGGGAAATGGGGAGTATTCCATCAAAGAGCTGACTTGTGCCTAAGGCATTAAAAGAAGTAACTACAGAGATCGTGGATACATTGGCCCTAATCTTCCAACAATCCTTAGATTAGGGATAAGTGCCAGAGCAACACATCTATTTCAAAGAAGGAGGAGGCAAAAAAAAAGGTAACTTTCAGCCAGTTACCTTAACATCATGGTCAGTGATGTTGTCAGTCTCTTGCAGTAGTTTTGCTAGGCCTCTGTGAAAATCAACAAGACAGATATGTAGCCAAAAAAGTGCAATATTCAGTCCAATATGTTTGGCTGTGAATTCACAACTTTCCTGAAATGGAACTTAAATCCACAATTTCTTGCTCACAGGCAAGGGTGCTGCCCTTGCATTCCAAGTAATCCACGATATTAAATCCAATCTGAGACCATGATGTTTACATTAAAGTATTAAAAAAACAACTTCTATTTATGTAGCACCTTTAATGTAGTAAACGATTCTGAGAAAGATTGTAAAGCTAGATTCATGCCCATAAGGCAATATCAGTACATATGGTCAAAACCTTGGTAAAGATGAAGGTCTTAAGTACATCTTAAAGGCAGAAAGTGACATATAGGGACAGAGGGTAGTCCAGAGCTTTGTGCCCAGGCAGCTAAAGGCACAGCCACTAATAGTGGAGCAATTAAAATCAGGGATCCCCAATAGGCCACTATTTGATGAGGTCATGTATCACAGAGGGTTGTGAAACCAGAGAAAGTTACAGAAAGAGAGAGGAGTAATGCCATAAGGGAATCTGAAAACAAGGATAAACCTTTTTTAAAAGATCAATGCATTGCAAAAACACCAAAGTAGGTCAGCGATTACAGGGGGTGATAGGTTAACAAGCTTGAAGTGAGCAAGGACGTCGGTAGTTGGCAGCCTCAACTTTAAGCAGCAAATGTACAAAAGACCAGCTAGGAGCATGTTGAAATAGTCAAGTCTAGAAGTTACATCATCATGACTGAGGGTTTCTTCAGCAAATGAATTGAGGCAAGGACAAAGTCAGGAGCTGGAATTAGAGCTTGGAACTCAGAAGACTACAACGCATCAGAGTGAACCTGGTCAGTTCATCTTGTAGCATCTAGATTCTTGGTAAACAGATGGAATAATGTGTTGATTGTGTGCTTTCTGAGAGCTAAAGCGTTACTAATAAGAAGGAAGTTGCATTAGATTCTAATTTGGCTGTCTATTATTTATCCTTCACAAAATTTGTGACCCAATTGGGAAAGGGATCGACATTTCTGGCGTCCTTGGGTGATCTGGAATTTGTTAAATGTGTTCAGGGAAGCTACCTCAAGTAGTATACAGAGGGTCTTACTCAGGAAGGGGCAAAACTCAACCTGCTCCTGGGAAATAGGGCAGGACAGGTGACAGAGGTGAGCACTTTGGGACCAGCGACCATAGTTCCATTAATTTTAAAATAGTTATGAAGAAGAACAAAACTGGTCCACAGGTTCAAGTTCTAAATTGGGGCAAGGCAAATTTTGATGGAATTAGACAGCAGCTTGCAGGGGTTGATTGGAGCAGTTTGTTTGCAGGCAAAGGGACCTCTGGCAAGTGGGAGGCCTATAAAAGTGTGATAGCTATAGTTCAAGATCTATATGTTCCTGTGAGGATGAAGGGCAAGGTTGGCAGGAGTAGGGAACCCTGGATGACAAGGGATAATGAGGCTTTGACAATAAAAAAGGAGGAGGCATGGCTCAGGTAGAGGCAGCTGGGATCAAGGGAATCCCTGGAGGTATATAAGGGATACAGGTGTTTACTGAATAAGGAAATTAAGAGGGTGAAAAGGGGGAACGAGATAGCTTTGTCTGAGAATATTAGGGTGAATCCAAGGAGATTAAGTATATCAAAGGAAAAAGAATACAGAAAATAGGACAGCTCAAGACCAAAGTGGACATATGTGGAACCGCAGGAGATGGGCGAGGTCCTCAATGAATATTTCTCTTCTGTGTTTACCGTGGAGAAAGACATGAAGACTTGGAAACTTGGGGAAGTTATTGGTGATATCTTGGGGACAGTCCATATCACAGTACAGGTGGTGTTGGGCAAATTAAAATGTATGAAGATGGATAAATCTCCTGGTCCTGATCAGATATATCCAAGAGCATGTAAGAGGCTAGAGAAGAAATTGTGGGGGCCCTGGCTGATATACTTGCATCATCATTGTTTACAGGTGAGGTCCTGGAAGACTGGAGGGTCGCGAATGTTGTGCCCTTATTCCAGAAGGGCTGCAATGAGAAACCTGGGAATTATAGACCAGTAAGCTTAACATCTGTGGTAGGTAAGCTACTTGAGAAGATTCTGAAGGATAAAATATGCAAACATTTGGAAAGACAGGGTTTGATTAGGAGGAGTCAGATGGCTTCGTGCATGGGAGATCATGCCTAACAAATTTGTTAGACTTCTTTGATAAAGTGACCAGGAAAGTTGATGAGGGCAAGGCAGCAGACATAGTCTGTGTGGATTTTAGTAAAGCCTTTGATAAGGTTCCGCAGAGTGGGTTGGTTTGGAAGGCTAGATCACATGGAATCCAGGGAGAGCTGGCAAATTGGATACACAATTGGCTTAATGGTAGGAAGCAGAGGGTAATACTGGAAGGATACTTGTCTGACTGAAGTCCTGTGATTAGTGGTGTGCCTCAGGGGTTGGTGCTGGGCCCATTGCTGTTTGTTATTTATACCAATGACATGGATGAGAATGCACAAGGCATGATTAGAAGGTTTGCGGATGACACTAAAATAGGCAATATCCTGGATAGGCAGGAAGGTTATCAGAAATTGCAGCAGGATCTTGATCAGCCGGGGAAGTGGCCCGAGAAATGGCAAATAGAGTTGAATACAAATAAGTGTGAGGTGTTGCATTTTGGAAAGTCAAATTCAGGTAGGAGTTTCATGGTGAATGGTAGGGTCTTAAGGAGTGTAGTGGAAGAGAGGGACTTTGGAGTTCAGGTGTACAATTCTCTGAAATTGGAGTCACAGGTAGACAGGGCAGTGAAGAAGGCTTTTGGCACACTGGCTTCATCAGTCAGGGCATTGAAAATAGAAGTTGAGAAGTTATGTTGCAGTTGTTCAGGACATTGGTGAGGCCGGACTTGGAGTATGGTGTTCAGTTTTGGTCACCTAGCTACAGGAAGGATGTTGTTAAACTGAAGAGCGCAGAAGAAATTTACAAGGGTGTTGCCAGGACTCAAGGGACTGAGTTGTAGGGAGAAGTTAGGAGTTTTTCCTTTAGTGTGTAGGAGACTGAGGGGGGATTTTATAGAAGTGTATAAGATCATGAGAGGTGTGGATAGGGTGAATGCACTCAGTCTTTTTCCCAGGGTTGGAGAATCGAGGACTAGAGGGCATCAGTTTAAGGTAAGAGGGGAAAGAATACATGGGAACCTGAGAGGCAACATTTTTACACAGTGGGTGGTATGCATATAGAATGAGCTGCCATCAGAAATGGTTGAGGCAGGTACATTAACAACATTTAAAAGGCATTTGGATGAACACATAGATAGGAAAGTTTTAGAAGGATATTGGCCAAGTGCAGGGAAATGGGGATATTGTGGATGGACATTTTGGTCAGCATGGGCCTGTCTCCGTGCTGTTTGACTCTATGACTCTATGAAATGAATATCTGATTAGGTCAGGGTACTTTTTCAGGTGGATAAACGTTTTTACACTTAATTCTACCACAGTGGAGACCGTGATCAAAACACTGAAGACAATTTTTATCAGATGAGATTGTATCAGACAACAGTCTGCAGTTTGTGAATAAAGAGTTTAAGAGGTTCACAGCAAAATTAGGAACCAAACATGTCATTAGTTCCCCTCTTCATTCACAGGCCAATGGAGAATTAGAGAGCAGTGAATGTTGTTATGATCAAAGGCAGTGATTGGAATTTAGTTTTATTGAATCACAGGTCAACATCTTTAACTAAAGGATATTAATCAGCAGAGTTCCTTATGAGTAGAAGGTTGAAAGCAGAAATCCCAATACTACAGCAAGATCTCAGACCAAACATCACACCTCAAGAACATCAGACAAGAAGAATCAAAAGAATTGGTATAATTCATGCATAGACCATAGAATTTATCCACTTTGCTACCAAGCCTGGATCAGAGATAGGAAATCAGAAGGTACAGACCTCAGAAAAGCAAAACCGCCATGGTCTTACATTACTCAAATTCCAATAGGAACATTCAGAAAGAACAAAAAAATTGGGATAACAAGAAGAGACTACATTAAATACCTTGCAAATGGTTACACAGGTTACCAAACATGGCTGTCAACTAAGTGGTTTGACTTTCTCCAGAAAGGATGAAGAAAAGAGAAATAAAGCATCTTACTTATAGCTCACTCCTAACTCATAATTACTGGCCTGCTTTTACTGATTACCCAATCCGAAATCTGGGAGAATGTGAAATCCAGCACAGTTTTGATCCTAATAATGCTAGATTTTGAACAGTGCCTGTACGATTGTAAAGAGACATGACACATAGCCTAACCTGGGACAAATTGAGTCAAATACTCAAACCACTGTCGCATGGTGGAATCTCCAAGCAAGCAGACAATTTTTCTACGGAGGCATTCTTTAATTTTTGCAGGAGTGTCAAAACGGTGAATATTGCAGGTCGTTGACATCCACTGGTCCTGATAATAAAAGCCAGATGGTGACACCATGGGCTGTCCCCGGACACATTCTCCAAGAGCCGGAGCTGAAAATAAAGAGAAACGAGGTACAGGAATTGTGATATGCTACATCTTCAAATATCAACACACTTCTCCAATGTTTCCAAAGCAATGACAATCCCAGCAGGGCCATTAGCTGTTGCCACAGGAAGTAAACAAGTACATGAAGAAAAATAATCTAAATAATATTGTGAACAAGTCTGTGTCAATGGGTAAATGCACCAGCTGGTGTGTCACTGAGCTATCATGATAAGGAGGTCTCCCCTTTAAATCTGTTATAATGATAATGGAACCACTTAATAGGTTACATTTAAAGATCATAATCATGTTCCATTAGATATCACATGCAATATACATGGCTGTCAACTAGACCATTAACTATGACCTGAAATTATGATGAAAAAAGCAAATTTTACATGAAACTAAGAAATGACTTCTGACATCTAACTATTGGTTCCTTTGAATTAATTTCCAGTTCAAATACCTTGCACTGTGCTAGCGATAAATATTAAGCAAGACAAGACATATTATATCTATTATCCTTGATATAGAATATAAAGAATATGAACTAATTCTTGAATGGCTTCAGTTAGTTATGTTTTTAATCCAAAACTCCAAAAATAAGCTACATTCAGCATTCTCATGACATAAATATTTAATTTGAGAAGAGTAGAAACAGATTCCATACGTTCAGTAAAATCCATGATTGAAATTACTCTTTAGGTGGAATCTTAAAGGGGGCTGAAATGACATGGGCTGTGGTGAAAACTGTAGCAGAATGACGAAACGTCCAGCGAGGTCAATCTCAACATCGGAAGCAGCTTGCTCTGTCTTTCAAGTATCTGTCAAGCGTTGAGGCAAATTTCTTGCTCGGTAGCGACATGTTGCCTATTAAAGGGACTATTGCTTCTTGATGACCTTATTAAGTGCAGATTGCAGGGGAGGCGATGGCCTATTGGTATTATCGCTGGACTGTTAATCCAGAGACCCAGACAACGTTCTGGGGACCTGGATTCGAATCCTGATATGGCAGATGGTGAAATTTGAATTCAATAAAAATATCTGGAATTAAGTGTCTAATGATGACCATGAATCCATTGTCAATTGTTGGGAAAAACCCATCTGGTTCACTAATGTCCTTGAGGGAAGGAACACTGTCATCCTTATCTGGTCTGGCCTAGATGTGACTCCAGTCCCACAGCAATGTGGTTGACTCTTAACTGCCCTCTGGGCAATTAGAAATGGGCAATAAATGCTGCCCAGCCAGTGACACCCTCATCCCGTGAATGAATAAAGAAAAAAAATTACACCCCACGAATATGCAGGTTTATATTTTATCACCTGGCACAAGCAAAATTGATGAGGCAAGTTCTCGGCATGGAATTCAGGGCAGGCAGCCAGCAACTTCAGCTTGACTTTTGCTCCAAAATCTCTATGTTAGACACTAGGCACCACCAGCTCAAGGCACACTCCATGGGTAACAGCTACTGTGCCCATGTCACAGACATTTGCATCCAACATGCGTCAGCCTCCAAGAATCCTGAAGGTGCATTGTTGATCTATTTACACCATGTTTCTTCAGTTCATTGCTGCACTTCGGAGGAATACAGTAACTATCATTGAAATGTTACAAAAAAGGATGCTGTGTGTTCAGGGACAAGCACCCAGCTTGTGGACTGGACCATGTTGCATCTCTGACTTGTTCGCTTGCTCTCTTAGTGATGATTCAACCTACCTGGATGTTCACAGCATCCCTGCTTTGTATTGCCTTGCATTGCCTTCCCGCGTTTTATTTTCCATGGGAAAGTCGATTGGGATCATGCCCCATGCAGCCCCAGATCCATAGGATTTGGAGATACTTGTGTATGAAACACAGAAAGCTAGCACACGGATGCAGCAGATAATCAGGAAGACTAATGAAATGTTAATCTTTATTTTAAGGGGATTGGAGAATAAGAGTAGAGAAGTCTTACTGCAACTGTACAAATTGCTTGTGAGACCACACCTGGAGTAATGAGAGCAGTTTTAATCCCCTTATTTAAGCAAAGATATTATTTCATTGGAGGCAGTTCAGAGAAAGTTCACTAAAATGATCCATGTATGGAGAAATTATCTTTATGAGCAAAGGCTAAATAGTTTGGAACTCTACTCACTGGAGTTTAGAAGAACGAAAGGTGATCTCATTGAAACATATAAAAATTTTTAAGTAGCTTCACAGGGAAAATGCGAGAGGATGTTTCCTTCTATGGGAGAATCTAGGACCAGAGTGGGTAGTTTCAGAATTAAGGTGTGCTAATTTAAGGCTGAGATGAAGAGAACTTCTTTCTTTAGGAGGATTGTGAGTCTTTGGAAGCATTTGGCACTGAGAGCTGTGGGGGCAGAGACCTGGTGTAATTTAAGGCTGAGTTAGAGAGATTCTTGTTCAGCAAGGGAATAAAGAGTTATGGGGAAAGGGCAGGAAAGTAGATGTGAGGAATGTTGACGGCTATGATCTGAATGAATGGCGGAATAGGCCTGAGGGGCTGAATGGCCTACTCCTGCTCCTATTTCTTGTGGTCTGATTGTCCTATCTTGACTATGCCTATTCTGGGCTGTTTTCCTCGTAGAATGAGAGAGGAGCAGGTATTATGGATGATGAAAATGAATGGCACAGCTGTTACTTTGGTGCAAATTGGGAGTTAAGTGAGTAAGGACCAACAGAGTTAGCAGTGCCAGGGTTCAGGTGGGTGAGAATCAGTGAGGCAAGATGTTGTGGGTATTAGAGAGGGTATTGGTTCCTTGATGGGGAGGTGAGTACAGTAGCAGAGATAGAGTGAGTGTTAGGTATTGGAGAGAAGATGGAAGAGTGGAGAAGGTCTTCCTACATTGCTGGGAATTCCTCCAGGTGGCTGAGACTACAATGAGCTAGGTGGCAACTTGGACTAGACTGGTGTTGTGACCTCTTCTGCTAGTCCTCAGGCAAGGGGACATCCCACCTCGCCACGACCTCAACGACCAGGAACCCCAGTTCCATGTCCATAAGGTGAGCTGCCAATTTTCCCTTTTCTGCCATGTCTGGGGTAAACGTCAGAAACTGTGCAGGAAGACATCAGACTAAAACCACTTCTCTGGTACGTAAATGTCTTTTAAAGATGGTGGCAACCCCAGGGATTCCAGTCCATTGCGGGATATCCTGGCAGTTACAAGTTGTTCCGAGTACGGCAAGTGGTAGGATGGGAATTGGATTAGAGGGATGACATAGAGACAGAGTAGGTTATTAATGAGACAAGTTTGGTCAGATGAGCTGAAATCACTCACTCAGCCTTCAGGAGAAAAACACTCTGAGAAACTCGACAAAGCTGACAGCCAAAAGGAAAGAACGATCTCAGCCCTATATTTATTTCATAGTGCAGGCCCCTTCCTGAACAACAGAGGGACTGTTGGCAGGAGCTTCACTGTTGTCCAGCTGAGGTCTCACATTCCTGTTCCACAGGCAAAGATACTTTGGGAATTCAATCATTTGCAGCAGGGACAGAAACAGGTGATTGCAGATCAGCTGCCTATTCTCCATTCTTTGCCAATACACTGTCTATATCATAGCAGAGATGGTGCAGAGGCATGGAACAAAGTCTGAGCCCAATGTTATTATATTATTCTCAATCAAACGGCATTTGGTTTCATAAAGCACACACTAGGAGCAGATATACATAGAAAGCATGCATTATAACAAATGCTGTATTTAGATTGTTTCATTTTATTTAAAGATTGGCTCCATGTTTATTAATCAGCAAACACCAATCCTCTATGCCCAGCAGTACGATTCCAATATCAAATGCTGTAAACAATGCTCCACAACATGAGAAACAGTGTTATTTAAGGAACTTGTCAGCATGAACCAAAAGAGGATGTAGATGTTAATAATGTTGGATTACATCATACCTGCCTGGATTTCACCTGAATGTTCATCTTCAGCGAGTTAAACAGAAGGTAGTGGATTGGCAGCCCATTATATTCTCCATCTATTTTACTTTCTATTGAAGACAGCACTTAGAGTTAAATGCTGCTGTTTCTATAGAAGTACTTCATTAGCTGTACAGCACTTTGAGGCATTCAGTTGTTATGAAAAGGGATATGTTAATACATGGGGTGTACGTTCCCAATGCAAAAATGGTCACAGTGATCTGTCTGTGCATGCACTGTCTCATCCGGGCCATCATGTCAGCATAACATTAAACTTTAACCATTTGTAAGATCTGGATCCAGAAAACTTAGCAATCATTATAATTAGTTTGTAATTTTCTTAGTAGGAGAGTCCCTAGCTTCAACGAAAAGAAGGCTGATGAATAATCAGACAGCGTTGTACTGCATCTGTATAGAGACCAGACTTTTAACAATGCCCAGAGCACCAATTTGCAAAGAAATTTAGAGACTCATTGTAACTGTTGATATGTTTTCTTGGATCTTACAATTAGGTTAACAGTTAATGTAATAAATTGTTGCTGTCTGGTTATTTGTTTACTGATCAAAATTGTTTTCAGCACAAAAGATATTTTCGTTTTTACTTGATTCAGGCTGGTACGACTCTCCTTTCACAGATTGTGTGCTCCTTCTTACGGTGGCATTGCTCATAAAAATAAAACTATAAATGGCAGACACTTTTCTCTCACTGTGGAAATCTGATTCGGTAAAGTCAATGGAAGGTAAACTCGACCTGAGATTGCAATGGGTGGCTGATCAGCTCCAGCTGTTATATTTCACTCCCTCTGAAGTTGGAATGAAAGTTTAGCTGTTTAAAATCTAATAACATAGAATGAAATGTCATAGTTCGTTGCCATTAACAAACCTTGCACGTAAATTAATCAATTGGAAAACATAGTGATTTATTGGTGGTGGTTAAGTAATGGAAAAAAGATATCGTAGGTGATTTGGTGATGGAAAAATAGTTCAGTTGTGTGTATAAGTACTTTTGGATATTAAAAAATTTAAAATGTTATCATTAGGATGCTCATGTAGCACAGTGGTAGTTTCCCTGACTTGGAGCCAAGCAGCTCTTGTTCAAGTTTCCCTATTGCAGAGACTTGTAACAACATCTCTGAACAGGGAAATATATGAAATGCTGTAGTTCAGATTGTTTGAGTACAATTGGGATTCTTTTTTTAAATCTCATTTTCATATCAGAAATTGAAATATATAAAATTTACCAAAATAATCAAGACTTCACCATTCTACATAATGTAAAATGGTATGGACATTAATAAATGTATGATGTTAAACATCTTGGATCAGGGTTAGTCAGACCTGACTGCACAGAGATCATATGTTTATGCTGGTTAAGTCCTATTTATTGTAAACAAGCAAAGACTCAAAATGCTAATTTACTTAAGGAAATACATGGGAAATTAAATTACACTTTATTTCAAAAAGTTACAAATTCTTGCCTATTTGCAGCAAGGGATTATGCCAACATTCTCCTAATTCGTGTGTCCTCTAACATACCAACCCTTCGATGTAATAGTCAGTGAAATATAATTATCTTACTTGGTTGAGGTGAAGGTTCCACCATTACATACCCTGGTGCTCTGGGTAATATGGGCTTCTTGATATTGACATTACTGTGAAAATAAATATATCATAGGTTGGTCATCGTAATAATGACACAACTGAATACACACAGGACATCACCCAAAAGTACTTTCAACCACCCCATTCTTCCAATCTACAGTAACAATTTGAATTATATTGCCAACATTGCCAGTGAGCATCCCAGTAGGTGCAATGTGAGTGTGTGAACAGCCCTGAGATGCTATATGGTCCAGTCAATGAAGTGAAGTGTCCCTGCACACAAAGTGTCCTTGCCACAGCATTGCCATTAAAGTACAAAGTGCAGCATTAAAGTGTAGAAGTGTACTGTAAGTAAATGAGAAAAGTGTGACATTGAAGTGATGAAGCTGGGATAAATCAAATATTAACTTCCATGGATGTGAGGTGTCTGTGACTGTTGCCCATATAGCATGCAATGAGATGTCAGTAAAATAAAATATAGGAACAGGAACAGGCCATTCAGCCCTTCGAGCCAGTCCACCATTCACATGATCCAACTCATTACTGTTCATACTCACACTTTCTCCCCATATCCTTTGATTCCTTTAACCCTCAGAACTTTATCTGCATCTTTCTTGAAAGTCATCAATAGTTTTTTCTCCTCGACAGTTTCCTGTGGCAGAGAATTCCATTGACTCACCACTCTCTGAGTGAATTCATTTCTCTTCAGCTCAGTCCTAAAAGGCCTACCCCATATCCTTAGACTGTAACCCCTGGTTCTGGATTCTCCAGTCATAGAGAAAATCCTTTCTATATCTACCTTATCTAATCCTGTTAGAATTTTATCGATTTCTATGAGATCTTCCATTATTCTTTTAAACTGCAGTGAATATAATCATAACTGATCCAACTCATCCCTGTATGTTAGTCCTCCCATCCCAAGAAATGGTCTGGTAAACCTTCTTTGCATTTCCTCAATAGCCAGAACATCTCTCCTCACTTAAGGAGCCCAAAACAGCAGACAATATTCCAGGTGTAGTCTTACCAATGCCCATGCAGGATCAGACATCCCTGCTCCTATTATTGAATTCTCTCACTATGAAGGCCTATATACCATTTGACTTCCTCACCACCTGCTGCACCTGCCTGTTTCCTTTCAGTGACTGGTGTACAACTCCACCCAAGTTTTGTTGCACCACCCGCTTCCTCAATCTATTGCTATTCAGATAATAATTCGCCCATCTGTTTTTGTTAACCTCACATTTATCCACATTATACTGCATCTACCATGCATTTGCCCACTTACTCAAATTGTCCAAATCACACAGAAGCTTCTTTGCATCCGCCTTACAGAAGACCCACCCAACAAGCTTTGAGTCATCTACAAGCTTAGAGATTTGGAATGTAGTTTCATCATCTGAATCATAAATACATATTGTGAATAGCTGGGGTTTAAACATTGATCCCTGTGGTGGCCCACTAGTCTCTTCCTACCACTCAGAAAAAGACCTGTTTATTCTTACTCTTTGTTTCCTGATTGTCAGCCAGTTCTCAATCCACTTCAGTATATTACCAACAATTCCATGCTCTTCAATTTTACACGCTACTGTCTTATATGGCACCCTGTTGAAAGTCTTCTAAAAATCCAGCATCCAACATCCACCAGCTCCCCCTTATCCAGTCCACAAGTTGTATCCTCAACAAATTCCAACAGATTCATCAAACACATTTTCACCCTCATAAATCCATGCTGACTCTATCCGATATTTCCACTATCTTCCATGGCTAGTATTATATCTTTCCTAATGGACTCTAGCATTTTTCCCACGACCAATATTTAGCTAACTAGTCTATAATTCTGAGGAAGGGTCATTCGACCCTAAACGTTAACTCTGATTTTTCTCCACAGATGCTGCCAAACCTGCTGAGCTTTTCCAGCAATTTCTGTTTTTGTTTCTGGTTTACAGCATCCACATTTCTTTCAGTTTTTATAATTCATTGTTTTCTCTCTGCCTCCCTCCTTAACTAGTGTGGCTACATTAACTACCCTCGGATTCATAGAAACTGTTCCAGAATTATAGAATTTTGCAAAATGACTACCAGCGCATCTGTTATTTCTAGGACTACTTCTTCTTCATGTTTCTAAGCTCAACTCATGCAGATACTACTTCACCAGAGCTAATATCCTTCCTCACAATCACATCTCTAAAACTGAAAACCTCTGCATATTCAGTTCCCATTCCTGGTCACCTTGCAGCCATGTTTCTGAAATCCCCACTGTGTCAAGGCCATTTAAACTTATTTGCATCACTAATTCACCTGTTTTATTCTGAATGTTCAGCACCACAAAGCACACATTCCAAGGGCTAATCACTTTAGTGTTCTTTGTCTCAATTACAATGGTCATGCTCGATTCTAGTCCTTGAATTCTCTGCCTGCCACATTTCTTATTTCCCATTTTGTCTTTTGGTCTAGTTTGGGATTATGGTTGGCGTGGACTAGTTGGACCAAACAGTCTGTTTCTGCGCTGTATGACACTATGACTCTATGTCCCTTTAAGAGCTCAGCAGGTAAATCAGCCAAGTGTCTGGATGCTATTGTCTGCATCCAGGCTGTCTGCAATGTAGCACTTGAAGCACAGATTGCATCTGGAGACTAATGAGTACTGTATATATCAGTTTAGTTTTAAATAAACACACTAGATATCTTCAAGTAAACGGAATTCACACACCTCATTTGAGTTACATTTTGATAACAAGAATATTCTAAGGAATATTTTTCAATATTTTCCAAGGAAGAGGAAGCCAACAGCATATTAGTAGAAGTAGAGGTTGCAGCGCTAATGGATGGATCGAAATTGATGCAAAGGATGAACTGTAAACACCGAGTGTGCTTCAAGTCAACAGGTTGCCTGGTCCAGAAGCCCAGTGTTCCAGGTTATTAAAGGGCATTGGAGTGCATACAGATGAAGGCTTCCTCTAATCATCCAAGATACAGGGAAGGGACCAGAGGATTAGAAAGTGACAAGAAGTATTCAAGAAAGAGTCTCAGAAAACTCCCAGCAGCTACAAGTCGGTCAGTTTAACATTAGAAGTGGGTAAGGTTTTAACAGCCATATTTTGTGGTTAAAAAAAAGGGGAGATAGCACAGATTTGTTCACTAATTTAGTTTATTTTTTGATGGAATAACAGTAAAAGTTAATAAATGGTAAACAGTGTATGTTGCCTATATGGAATGTGAATAACGCCTTGACAAAGTGCCACATAAAAACTGAGTATCAAAATTGAGGCTCAGAGAACAGGAGGGTGAGTGTCGGCTTGGATACAAAATTGTTTCAGGACAATAAACCAGAAGTCATGGCAACTGGTTGCTTTTTAGAATGAATGTCGGGAGACAGTTTTATCCCTGAACGGCAAGTGCCAGGACCACTGCTTTTCTTGATACACGTATATGAAAGTCTTGGATACTGGAATAAAAGGTAAAATTTCAAAACTTGCCAATGATTTCAAACTTGGAGATGTGGCTGAGGGCAGTACATATACACTTAACGATAAGGTCCTCGTGAGTGTTGCTGAATAAAGAGACCTTGCGGTGCGGGTTCATAGTTCCTTGAAAGTGAAATCACAGGTAGATAGGATAGTGAAGAAGGTGTTTGGTATGCTTGCCTTTATTGGTCAGTGCATTGAGTACAGGAGTTGGAAGGTCATGTTGTGGCTGTACAGAACATTGGTTAGGCCACTTTTGGAATACTGCATACAATTCTGGTCTCCCTGCTATATGTTGTGAAATATGAAAGGTTTCAGAAAAGATTTACAAGAATGTTGGTGGGGTTGGCAGGTTTGTGCTACAGGGAGAGATGGAATAGGCTGGGGCTATTTTCCTTGGAGCGTCAGAAGCTGAGGGATGACCTTATAGAGGTTTATAAAATCATGAGGGACATGGATAGGGTAAATAGTCAAGGTCTTTTCCCCGGGGGTAGGGGAGTCCAAAACTAGTGGGCATAAGTTTAAGGTGAGGAAAGAAGGTTTTAAAAGGGGACTAAGGGGCATCTTTTTCACACAGCAGGTGGTGCATGTTTGGAATGAGCTGCCAGAGGAAGTGATGGAGGCCAGTACGATTACAACATTTAAAAGACATCTGGATGGGTATATGAATAGGAAGGGTTTTGATGGATATGGGCCAAATTCCGGCAAATGGGACTAGATTAATTTAGGATATCTAGTTGGTATGGACAAAGGGTTTGTTTTTGTGCTATACATCTCTATGCCTCTTTGACAGTTAGAATGACCATAAATATAACTAGGACAGAAATAAACAACAAAATGAGCAGTCAAGTACCAGATGAAATTTAAAACAGACGTGTTTAAGTAATGCATTTTAGCAGAAGGAATAAGAAAAAACAGAATATCAATGGACAGGGAAACCTGGGGCTGCTTTTGCACAGATCTTTTGAGATGACAAAGCATATTGAGATTTTGATTAGCAACTTAAATGGGACCTTAGTCTTTATAAATAGAAATGTTGAGCACAAAAGAAGACAAGTAATGTACAAAACTCTGGTTAGACCACAATTAAAAAATTGTGTCCGACTCTCACCACACTTTATGAAGGATTGTTTTAACCCAGTCCATGAATGGTTGTGCATCACTTGGCTATAGCAGCGTTCATTGTTCCATCGAAATTGCATCAGGAGAAGATAGTGGTGAGCTGCCTTCTTGAATGGCTGCTGTTCTTGGGGTAGAGAGACACACATAGTGCTGTTAGGAAGGGAGCCCCTAGTGAAAGACAGTGAAGGGATGGTGATATAATTCCAATTCAGGACAGTGTGTGGCTTTGAGATTAACTTGCAGGTGGTGGTGTCCCCATGCATCAGCTGTCCTTCTAGGTGGCAGAGTTCATGGGTTAGAAAGATACTGCTGGAAAAGGCATGGTGAGTTTCTGCAATGTATCTTGCAGCTAGCACACACTGCTGTCACTCTGTATCAGTGATGAAGGAAATATTGAAGGTGGCAGATGTAGTGCCAGTCAAGCAAGCTACGTTGCTCTGGATGGTGTCAAGTTTCTTATGTGG